TGCGCCGTGCTATAACAGGATATTCAAGCATCTGTCCCTCATGCTTCTCTCGAAATTCGATTATGGCTGTTATTCCAATATTAGTCATCCATATCACCTTGCGCTGACTTGAATAGAAATCAGAAAAAAAAACTGTACAATAATCTCGCTAATACGGCGTCCCAAGAACACCATTCCACCATTGTCCGCTTAAGTCGCCTGAACCGGTGTTCTTATTTTTTGCCACGAAGCATGATCATGACGTTGGAAAAACCTTATGTTTCTGATTCCCCTTCCATTGGTACCGGCTTCTGTTTGACCGCTGACGCAAAGAATCTTTGCTGTTGTAATTCTTGCATTGACTACGTTTGCAAAAAGCCATACATAGACTGACAGAGTGCTCCAGATTATTACCGCGCTGATACTCTCACCATCTGCGACAACTTGTGTTTCAGGTTTTCTTCCAAAGACTGAGTTTCTTCTTTAATTGACCCCCACCGTTTCCAGATAACAACCACTTTCTCGATTCATTCCGCAATTCCTCGCTTGACCAACGGCCCATTGCTTCCTCTCACAGCTTCCGCAAACATCAATCTCTTTTAACAAGAGTTCTCCAAAGCGAAAGTCCTAGGAAAATTACTGAAAAAGTGTTATCTCAAGGGGAAAGGAAAATAGGCATATGACGCTTTGTACCCACTGCAGATTGTTACAATTTTGCATTCTTGGAAACCATTTCGCCAAGCCGTAAAAACAACAGCGGCGAGTCACAGCTTTCTTGTACCCCAGTCAGCTAGTTTACCCTTCCACATTTCCTAACCGTACCTATAATCCAAGTTTAACTCCCAGCATCATGCAACCCACAATCTTCTATTTGTCTGCAGGACCCATTCACTAACCACTCGGCTGTTAATTCCTTCCCATTTTATCTCCAAAGAAAAGAATGTTCATTAAGAATCACCCACATACGCCCATGGGAGTCCTGATCGTTGGTTCAAAGATGGCCAACAGGTCCAAGAATGTTGTGAACGATGTCTCTCCGGACAACCTTAAAGCCGATGAAGTGAAACTTAGGAATCCGAGAACCTCCACATGACAATCAATAAAGTTTCGCTAAAGCTCAAAAAAGTAACAAATAGTTTCTATATCTTCATAAGAGGGCTAGGCCCACACATTACCCTCCAGTCTCAAATATTAAAAGGCTTCAAAGCCAAATCTCCACCTCTACCCGATCATTTGTTGTATAAATGCCGACCTTCATTTCCATTTAAAAAAACGAATATTGGCTTCTTAAGTTGAACTAGGCTCCTCTAATTCAAAGAATTGTCGCTGTTGGTTATTCCTCCAGCCCACGACTAATTTCCAACGTGTCAAAAAGAACTTATAATGACTGCCGGGGCCTGGGGAATTCATGGGGCCCGCCCTATGTCCGTATTTGGCGCTTCACTATCATCTTGACAATCAATAACGACAGATATGAAAAACTTCACAAGGAATTCCAATCGACGAGTTTAGGGTCCAATTATAATGTACGGCCATTCATTCTCAATATTATCTTCCATAGTTCTCCTTCCATTTGTACTCCTTCCCATGCACGTCACTTTCTATTTTTTCTTTCCCCTTAGCAGTAAGCCACCTTATCGCCATTCGGTCGCCACTTATCAGTGAGTTGATTTAACTTCAAATCCCGTTAGGTTTAGGAACTTTTGAAACGAAATTCCCAACTTACTTGCCATTATGCGATTCAGAATCATCGTACCTGCCAAACCATCTAGTTTCGACCACCGTTGGAACCGACCTAGTTAGCATTTTCGGCTATCCGCCCTCATTCCAAGCTCCATTAATTAAGCAACTGTTTCTTAGTTTTAAATCCGGTGTTAAGAACAATTTACGGCAATTACCAGTCCGAATGCCGAGCATCTTCACAGAAGAAACAAAGGGTCGAAAAGCCGCCTCATATTTGAAACATGATCCATTGCCATTCACCTTTATATTTTTTTTTCTCTCTGCCATTCTATGTTTTTCAGAGGTTTTCCTCCACATCCATTCGACTCGAACATGCATATACTCTCGCGCATAATCCGAAAAGTTCTTGGGGTCAGAAAGTAAAAATTCCGCCATATAGTTCCCAATATCCTTAGCAACTCGTTGCCATCATAAACACACCAATGGGGAAGATCATGAACCTAGATCCTCTTATTCCACTTTTGAAGATTCAAAACACGTTTGGATTTGTCTTCTTGATTCCACTATCTTCTCAGAAGAAGAAGGTTTTTGAGCAAAATTCCAGGCCCTCCATTCACTACGCTCGATCCCGATCTATTGGATGAAAGAACATGGAACAAGAATGCATTATTACCAAGATCTCATTAATAAGCAATAGATCGGAATCACCTCGGTACTTCCAAAATATTTTTGGTTATAGGTGATCTCAACACACGTTGTTAATAGGTTTATCTGTCAATAGTATGAGCAACAAGCGCCACCGATGAGAATCACTATTTTCCGGACTCGCTAAAGGCCTCTTATTGATTTGCTCCCTTCCTGACAATTTCAACCTTCTCCAAAATCTTCCAAATTTTCAATAACACAGCATAGACCCTCCACAATAGTATGAACCTTATCGGTAGTTGGCGGTTCAAATTTTTAAAATGTTGAACTTGAACCGCTCGGGGAACCGCTGGTTCTTTATTCTTGCAGTTTCAGTACGGTTCCAATCACGTTATAGTAGTGGCTGGTTTTCAAGTATTGGTTTTTTTTTTTTTTTTAAATTATTTTTATTTGGTGTGACATCTTTCTTTTCTAAAATATAATATAAGCTTAAAAATATTGTGGTAAATTTTATTTTTAAAATAAATTTTGAATTACTTCTACCTAATATAAGAATAAAATTAAATCTTATATTTTTACAAAAACAATTCAACTAAATTATCACTTTATTTTGATCTATAAATGTTATTTATTTTGTCTAAATGTTATTAATTAAATAAATTATTAGAAAATTTTGAAAAATGCTTCAAAGAATGTAATTTTGAACTTAGTAAACAATTTAAAAAAAAAAAGTTAAAAATAATATAAGTTTAGAGTAAAAATTTCTCCTTTTTTTCACCATTTTACTTTTTAGATTTTTAACTTTTAAAGTAAAGTGTATTTTTTAAAAAAAATCTTAAATAAAGTGTACCATATAGTAAAATATTATTGAGACTTTTAGATGTGTACAGAATAGACTAAGTGATTATCATTTTGAAAATAAAAATAAAAAATTTTCGATTCAAATCGGACTAGAATTCGCAGTTAACCTCGGTTTCAGGCTGATTCAGGTTCAAATTTTAACATTCACATGAATTTTAACTAGCCCTTGAACCGTCGGTTCTGATTCAAATTTTGAACAGACGGTTTCGTTCCGATTCTGATTCAAAATGACCAGTGGCCATACCTAGAAAATAATAGTTATTTTAGTAGATGTTAGTGGTTGTAGTAGCTATTAGTTATTCTATTAGTTGGTAAGTGATAGTTGTTTATATAGTGGTCAGTGATGGAACCAGAAAAAATAATTAGAGGGGGCGATATCGAAAAAAAAAAATTTTATAGGTAAAAAGTAAAAATTTCTATTTATATAAGGTAAATTTCAAAAAAAAAATAAAATTTAGGGGCCGGCTACCACTGCTGACCACCCTCTAGTTCCGCTGTTGATAGTGGCTTAAATTAGATGTGTTTGGTAAAGATAGTTGTTTAACTTAAAATAATAAAATAACAAAAAAAGATATATTTTGTTTATTTAAGTTGAATTTAGAAGAAAAAAAACAAAGAATATTGGTTGTAAAAAAAAAAAAAAATCCTAATGATCTTCATAAAACTGCTAAAAGTTCAATGTGTTAACGTTCATAAAGCTCATCATAAAAAGCTCACTCAACCTCTAAAAACCATTATAAAAGTTATGTTACTGAACAATACAATTAATATAAATAGAATTTTGTTTTGGCTTGGTTAATACGCTAAAAGCTAACTCAAAGTTGTTGTCGAACATGGCCTTAGAAAAATGCTTGGGACGTTGCACTTTCCTAGTTAAGTGCAATTAATTTACTAATTTATCATATATAAATACACTTTCAATTAATATTATTGATTTTATTATTTTCTTTTATAACTTGAGAGAAATTTACTTCTAAGAAAGTTGATTTGTATACTAAATATGTAAACTATATTTTTTTAGAAAATAGCTTTTCCTGAAAGTGTGCTACCCGAAAATATATTTTTCCGAAAGTAAACGGTCATGAGCAACTTGGCATGGTAATTTTACCAATGTGGGAGTACTCGATCCGATCCGATTTGATTTTGGCAAGTTTAAATAGTGAATAAACGGGTTCAGATATTATTTTTACTATCCGTGTCGAGTTTAGGTTCAAAGACTTGGATACCGCTACTCGTTACCCGTTTAATTAGTATTTCAAAAATATTTAAAATAATTTTTTTAAAAAAATTATATATACACTTTTTAAATTATAATTAACGTTATAATTGTATTTAATATTTGTATTATTTTTTTTATTAAGTCAAAATAATAATAATAATTTATAATTTTTTACTTTACTTTTTGTTTGAAAATAAAAAATAAAAATATTTTTAATATTAAACAAGTATTTTTAAAAAAGGTTCAAGTATTAACGAATAATTATAATCGATTTTGCAATATTCAAATACTCCTCCGTTCTAAAAATATAGTCCATTTTTCCCTTTTGGTTTATTTCAAAAAATATATCCACTTTTCTTTTTTTGCAAATTATAGTTACTCCTTTAAATGTCTACTGTGATAATTTTTAAACTTTATTTTATTTCAATATCCAATTCTTACTTATTATTTCAATATAATAATCGCTCATTTATTATTTAAAAGGGACATAATAAAAAAATTATATAAATAAAATTATCTTTTACTTATAATTATTATTATTTCTTAATCAACGTGAAAATAGAAAATTGAACATTATTTTTTTTTGTGACGGAGAGAGTATAAATTTCTGAACACGTTCAACACAGATTCATATACCTAATAGTGCATTTAAAGCGGATATTCAGAGCCATTGCCATCCCAACCTAATTGGATATTATGAAGAACGTTAGTGGGAGCATTATTCCCAATTGAAATAATAGAGAAACAGATAATGAAAATGTAGATTCATGGATAGGAGTAAAGAGGTACGTAGAGGGAGAGAGAGAGGCGCAGGAGACGAGAAAGCTGGAAAATGTCAAAATCAAACCGAAGCTAGAGGTCGAGGAGCTTGCAAACGAACAGTATGTAAAGGATTTCTCTATTACTCTTCTGCTCTTAAATCTAACGGCAACAATCCTCGATGCATCGGCATCCCTCATACTGTTCATAGAGGTCTTTCTCTCTCTCTCTCTTATTTCCCATTTGGTTCGTGAGAAGATAAGCGTAAAACAAATCTTCAATTATGGTTTGCTTAATTTGGCTACTAATTTATACTTATTAGTAGTATCCAGTGCCTTGATTGGCTGTTTCCAGTGCCCTTGATTGTGTTTTGATGCGATTCTCTCCTGCTAAAAATTACTGTGAGTTTTTTGCAACTTTTGCAGAATGTTCCATTGATTTTCCTATTTTAAAAATTTAATGGCTTTTATCTGGATTAAGGAATAGGTTAATTTGATTTAGGAAAAAGGAAAAAGCTTTGTCATGGGTGTGCAAGGATTACCCTTAGTGGCCTTAAGAATAAGGAAGTCCTCGTGTCTGCAGCAAAAGTCTTGGTGGTTTTGAAGAAAATGGCTCATGTTTACTATTGCAATGAGTGAACTCCTGTGGAATCATTGAAGAAAGCTTTTCTTTTTCCAAATTGAAGGCATATGGATGGAAATGAGGTTGACGAATACCACCTGATTGAAGACCAATACTAAAGCCTTAGTTAATGGATTTAAATAACTGATTTCTTTTCTGTTTCCAAGGTTTTATCTTAGGAAAAAGGGACCTTTGGAGGCCATGTTTATGGTTTCTGTAAAAAATTTAAGGTCTTTTCAATTTAGTTGCAGGGTCCATGAGTGCAATTTGTTGGATAATAATAGTTACTTTGTTTCTTTTGTTCGTTGTGTCGTTGTCTAGTTTTTACGCATTATAGGTTTTAATAAAAAAGGGTCCAGTCAGTTTATGAGTACAGAATGAGGGCTAAAACCTCTCTCTAAAACCAGCTCTTATTCTTTTTCTTTCTTTAAATCAAAATTGGTAAATCAAGGAACCAAGATAGAAAGAAAGTATTCGGTGTTCAAGTAGATGACTCATGCGATCCCTAGATCCTATGTCCTTGCCACACTATTTCAACCCCATCCCCATGCATATATTTGATTAATTAGTCTTCATAGTTTCTATGATGTTGGTTTTCAGTAATACCCAAAATCTTCCTCATATTGTTGGTGTTGCATTAGCTCTTTCTCTTTGAGAAGATGCCAATGTAATTCGTTTTGATGATATGCTAACTACCTACAAGAAAAATGTTAATTCAATATCAGCTACACTAGGTCCATTGTGCAAATGACTGCAAATGTATTGTATGCTTGTGTTCAATATGGTGCAATGCTTGTTTGTTGTGCAAGGATTTTCAATCACTTACCTCTCCCTTCTCAGTATGAGAGAAGGTTGGTCTCATTTGATATCTTCTTAGGCTTTGGTAGTAAAATTCCTTCATCTTGTTTGTGAATGTTCTACAGAAATATCTTTTGGAACGTACTAATACATGATTTTGATGATCAGTTCCCAGTGACTTTATCAAACGTTATGAGATTATATCTTCTAAAAGGGGATTGGGTCCTAAGGATTTTTATTATGCTTGTGCTGGGAACTCGGTATATCTCATTAAAGATCAGTCTATGGATAAGCAAGTGACAACATCTCAACTGCCACTTTGTCTTGGCCTTGAGGTCTCTCTCTCTCTCTCTCTCGTGTGTGTGTGTGTGTGTGTTGTGTGCATGCACGTAGATATACTTTTGTTTTCTGGTGAGCTTCTATGATTTTAATTTCATTGAGGAATTTGCTTTTGACTTCCATAGCTTGGTTCAATGGACAGAGTGCAGCCATTCGTCACCTAGAAATATAAATCAAGCTGAGCTGAGTAAATGTTCAAGTTTTGATAGCTTAATTTTACTCGAGCTTAAGGTTAAACCAAACTAAAACTTCATTGTCAAGCTTGTTTGATCTGAAAGATATTGGGCTTAATGCTCCAATACAAACTAAACCTTAAGAATATTTATATATTTTGAATAATTTTTTACATTAAATTAATGCAAAAGTAGCTTTGTCTTCTCTCTCTCTCTCTCTCTCTCTCCTCTCTTTCTCTCCTCTCTCTCTCCTCTCTCTATTATATATATATATATATATATATATATTAGTAAACTATTTGTATTAGGTTAGTCTGTGCAACTAAAGTCATATGGCCTCAAAGGTGTCTTTTAAATTTGTTTTATGCTGTGCACTAAAGTCATATGGCCTCAAAGGTGTCTTTTTATTTGATTTATGGTCAATGTGTAATACATAACATCTATGCTACCTTTGGTTTGTTTTTCCTGCTTCATATACTAGTATTTATAATGATTATCTAGTATTAGTAGTTCCTTTTTTATTTGTATGGCATTATTGTAAAAAAAAATTCAATTACGTGGTTTGACATAAAGACAACCTTCTACTTCATTTATTGCTAAAAGACCAATTTTGATAACTTCCTGTGATTATTCATTGAGTTTCAATTGAGTAGCTAAGCGAACATAAACTAGCCTCTCCACTTAATCAAATTGGATGCACCTTTTTGTTCCTTCATCTATTAAACAAGATAAAGTTTTTACTTTTTATTCCAATCCATTCATTTAAGCTTGCAAACAACTAGAATCGAGTATTTTAACCTGTTCGTGAGTCGTTCATTGAGCACATTATTTTTTCTTAAAACCTATTTTCATTTATAGTTTTTTATTCTGCTTGGAGAGAAATGGTGATTGACTGTGTGGGTTTATTTAAACAATTAACTACATCTATAAGGCTGCAAAATTTATATTATTGTCTTCCAAAATAAATCATGCCACTGAATAGAGTTTGTGCATCTTTGGTGTAACTTGTTGCATTTTTAAATTTACTTTCACTTTGTCAAGTTGGCTATCTGGTTTGGGCATGATGTTATAAATTTTGTTCTGTTCTTATCCCTAGTTTATTGCGGACAAAAGGACTGCAGTTTTATTGGATCAGAGAAAAAGAGTTCATATTGCTGATAGTGCATCTGCTCCCGCTCGTGGTCATGGTAAAGAAGGTAAGGAAACCACCATGGTTTATGCTATGCCTTATTGCATGTTGATTTCAGTTAAATCCCTGTCTGACATATTTCTCAATACAGTAGATTGTCACATCTGCTTTTGATGAATGACAGCAGGAGACACAGCAACAGTTAGCTTCTGTGCTTATGTGCTGGGACATTCTGTTTGACATATATAAATATAAATGTGGATAGATATATGTTGGGCTTATATATGATGTGTACATTTAATGTCTTTGTAATGTGATGGAAAGATATTCGGTGGGGCGTTCTCCCCTGTAAATCTCAGAATGAGGTCTCTTATTGTCATTTTGCTACTATCCATGCAATGACAATGTCCAAACCAGCTAAGGATCCGATCAATTTCTTTAGAAATACTCTTTAACAGATGAATAGGTACTCAGCAGATTCTCTCTCTCTCCTCCACCCTCCTCTTTAAGAAAGTATGTCCCTGTAAGTATATAGTCAAGCACAGAAATTAGTTTAAGCATATTCCAGTAGATATCAACTCCAAACATGGCTCCGATGTCCGGACTAGAAGGTTACACATTAAAGGCAGTTCATTGCAAAATTACAAAAGTTGGAACTATTCATTGATTTCTCTGCTTAGGGATGATAAAAAATTCTGAATTTTAACACTTTTTGCAGTTTTAGCCAATTGTTTTAATTTTATCATTAAATTGAACTTATTTTGTCATTACGATTGTGGCTTCTATTGGATTTCTATACAAAATTGCTGACAATGCTGTTAAGCATAAAGGGATGGGTACTTTTGTCATGTGGCATCATTCTGCTAGCTCAGTTTCACTCCTTTTTTTTCTTTAAACTTCAAAAATTTATAGTACATAAAATCTAAGTTTCTCCTAAAAATTAAAGTATTTTTTCTAAGAAAAGTGTTTACTATTTTATTTATAATTTTTGGACTTATGTTTTATTTGTTATAATATTTTCTGTTTAAAAATAAAAGATTCAAAATGATCTATTGGCATGATGTCACATGGCAACCCACCATGTAAATCCATGATTGCAATGACAAAGTAAGCGTAGGCACCTTTCCAAAAAAAAAAAGAGTTTAGGCATTGATTGATAAAAATTAAAAAATTGTAAAAAGTGTTACTAATTCAGGATTTTTCATTTAGTAATCCAAGTCTTTTCATAGCAAATTCAAACCCTTTTTTCAGGAGAGGATTTTGTTGATACTTGTCTATTGTATTAAGAACAACGTATTACTTTCATTAGGATATTTATAACATAAAGCAAAAGATATTACAGCTTATTGCCTCTTATCTTTTTTCTCAAGTAATTTTGTTTATTGGCCCTAAAGTTAAACCATTGCCTCCTTGCTTTTCCTGATTTTTCATCATTGTAAGACATTATGCAATTACGTCTAAAGATGGTAACAATGTGTTCATTGTTCTCTGATCTTCAAATGGGATTTTTCTTATATTTCTGTTTATTGTTTAATTTTTATCAATTGTTTTATGTATCAATTGTTTTTACGTAAGATGGCCAAGAACGTTCCTCAGGCTCAACACGTAAACCACCGATTCTGCAGGAGATGATTTCCTGAAGGAGGCAAGCAATGCTTTAACAATTACTATTTAAATTATACATGTGCATATCTGTTGTGTTGATGGATAATAGAAAATCAAATATCTGGTTTCATGCTAAAATGCAGATATACAAGGAAATCGCGAGCTGGTTGCAGCAGGGGTTGGCGAGAAACATACAAAAAGTGGGTATCGTAATAAAAGAAAGCAATGGAATGATATTATGTTCCCAAACGAGGAAAGCGACCAAGTGAGGCTGTCCGGCCTTGGGATAATGCCTGAAGGAAAAGAGAATTAGCTGAACATGAGTAAAATCACGGTTTCATATGCTATTTTGCATTAATTATGTAAGCTGATAGTGTTAAAAATAAAATGATGGTCATGCAAATTGTTGATTGGTATGGTAGTCCTGGACATAATAGAAAGGAAGAAAGATAGTTACATATATAAAACTATAGGCACAAGGCACACATAGGCACAAGGCACACAAGGGCGAGGTTAAGGAGGTGTATGCCTGTTTTCTCATCTTTCAGGTTATGTTTTATCCCTAAAAAAGCTTGTTGCTGTCAAAAAGTTAATTATCTCATATATATATATATGAAATACTAATCGATAGGGCCTCATCAGTGAGTGAGTACTACAAGATCTCTTTTGTTTGGCATGGTTCATATTTCTTATTTTTATTTTTCAATTGTCAAAGAATAATTTTTATTTGTTGATTTGATTTTTTTTTTTTTGGAATTTTTTTGTGAGTTTTTCTATTAGGGAGTGGAATTTTTTTTGCTTTTATCTTTTATTGATAATTCGAAATGTAATCAAAATCATGTTTTTCTTTTATTTTCTATTGATAATTTTCTTGGGTTCTTTGATCGAGCCTAACTGGGTTGATTTTTTCTCTTGTTAGTTGGTTTAGGTCTACAATATTTAGCTTGATTTAAGGTGTTGTTGACCTCTGACCTCTGTTTTTATACTTAAAGTGAATTTGGTTTAGTTGTTCATATCAGTTTGATAGTTAATATTTGTCACTCAGTAAGTGGATATTTAATATTTTTTTGGGTTCATTGATGGAGCTGTTTCTAGGTTCAGTAATTGGGTTAGAACTCTTTCTTGCTCGAGAAAAAAAAATATGGTTCCAATCGAACATCACCTCCCTATATATATTATTGCATTATGCCTAGTAATTTGGTTATTTTTGCTTATTTATTATTGCATTATGCCTAGTAATTTGGTTATTTTTGCTTATTTTCTCAACTTATTTCTTTGTATACAACTTTTTATTATATAAAAACTGAAACTGAAAGTAAAAAAGTGAAATGACACCAACCATTTTTTGGTTTCTAAGTTTGTTTCATGCATTAGCTGATCACTTAATTATATCTCGTGACAATTTGTTTGATGTAAATAAAAATTTTGGTAGGGGATAATTGAAAATATATTTAAAATTTTAACATAAACAAAAATATCAATTATTTATAAGGATTCAATTTTATGGAATATAACTTGGTCATGGTACTTGCATTACGTGTTATTCCGGTAAGATTTTTGAGCAATTTTTAAATGATTATTTAAGGGGTTGAAATTAATTCTCTCTTCTTATCTAAAGAACAGATCTTATGGATGTTTTTTCTGGGTTTGATCTGTTGAATTATTTTTTACCAGTTTTGTCATTTAATTGTCTAGGTTAGGTTCGAGTTTTTTGGGGAGCCTGTTGGCTCGGATTAGATTACTTGGATTAGTTAAATTTTTTCTAGTATGCTTTAATATAATAAAATAAATTAATTTTGCTGATAAAAAAAAATTATCAACCCATTAAATTAGAGAGTTGGAAAGGTTAAAAATTTTGATTTCCATACTATCCATGGCAACTTTTTGAAATCTCAAAATTGCCCCGTATCATATTTCTATCATATTTCACAATCTATACCTATTTTCTTTTTTTCATTTTTATTAAGGACTATGAAGCAAATTTTTTTCTTTTTAAGTCTAATTATTTTCCAAACAAAATATATGATAATAATAATTATTACTATTTAAATTAATTTTATCACCATATTTAATTCTTAATATTTTTTATTTTGTTGCATGTCCTTGAAGATTTAGTTTAAGAAAAACTAATTTAATATCCATAAACTAATAATTAAAAAATAATTATAATCAACTTGTAATTTCGAATAACATATCTCTATATCTATGTGAAAGCTGAAACAAAAAGAAAATTTAAGGCGTTCTCTTTGTTCAACGTTATATTTTTTTTTTCTATAAAATTTGATATTTTTTCTTATTTTTATATATTTTAATGCTAATTGGCCAATTCAAGTAATTTTTTTATTTAATATAGATAAATTTTTTAAAAACTAATCTAACTAAAACTCTAACTTACAAACTTTAACACTAAAATTTTATAACTATGGTTCTTATTTTGGCTACTCAAGTCAGAAAAATCCATTCTAAAGATATTAATTTATCATTTTTATCTTTTGCAGGCTGATAATTTAATACCTAAGGATTTTCTATTGCCAATTGTGAGGCTTTGCTGAGATGCTAGATCGATTACTATCACTAAAAGCTAACAGATCATCTGGTATTAATTTCCTTCTATGCATTCTAACTGTGTATATGTATGTGGAGATACAGTTGAACAAACATTGAACTTTAGAAAGTTAATTTAGAAAGTTTGATTAAAGGTTTCATAATTGAACTTTGTACCAGCATAAACATTGATTTTATTTTTCGTATTTTTTAAATTGACAGGTTGTTGGTATTATCTGGTCATAGGGTATTTGAATATTTTTCTTTTTCATGGATTTTTAACATATTCTATCTGTTTTTCTTTAATTTAATTCGATGTTTTATTTAAAAATTATTAATATATAATTATAATTAATTATTTAAAAATTATATAATTATAATTAATAAATATTATAAATTTAATTTTTAAAATTTTTTTCTTATCTGTATCTATTTGATCTAATATAAACAAAATAAAATTTTAAAACCTAATAATACATAAATTTTCTATTAGCTTAACAAACATAATTCAATTTGTGTTGGCTTTTACATTTTTTTTTTTTTAGTGGGCACTGAATATTTATCTAGAATTATAAAAATTATTATTTTAATTATATTATACATATTAAATAATTTTAAATAGAACTTCACCTATATAGAATCATAGAGAGTTCGGTTGTGGGAATTATGCTTTCGCTGTTCGGTGGCTTATGCCTATTTACTAATGAGATTGTTAAAGCTTATGCCCAGGATCATTTCTTTTTTTTTTTTTTTTTTTTTTTTTTTTTTTTTTTTTATGTTGTTACCATATATTGGCTCTGCACTTTTTCCTAATACGAATAGAAGATTGGATGGCCGCTGTTGGGGCTATAAACTGTGAGTAAACACCTCTCTCATTGTATATATAACGATTTTTTAAATTTATTTAGAATATAGTTTATAATATATATATATAATATATATATATATATATATATATATAATATATAATTATTTTACTTTTTTTATTTTTTTTCTCTTTATTATATATAAAGATTCACAATCAACCTTCTTATAGTTTTATCTTCATGGCTCTTATGCGTCTTTATATTGAAATATAAAGACGAGAGCTTGATTAAATTCTTCGATATAATAATTGAGTCTTTTATTCTTATTCAAATTTTTCAATTTATTAATTATTTTAATGTCTATTTTGTGAATAGGAAAGTTAGTGCTCAGTTAAAATTTTGTTTGAATTCCTAAAGTTGCACTAATTAAATCAATATTTATTATCATCTAGATTTTGTAATCATTTTTCCTTTTAATTATCACTTATATATTTTTTTAAAATAGTTAATGCTCATTGAAAGCATAGCTAGGTGAAAAGTTTTTCTCCAACAACAACAACTCGATAATACTATACCAATACTTTATCAAGTTTCTATATACCAAAACTGTAACATACTAACATCATATATCCAGGGATAAATAGTGCAAAGATGCTACATAACATATTATACAAAGTTATTAACAGTGGTATAGGTCACACTATGTACTGAGCAGAGGAAACCAGTATAAGAAAATTTCTTAACTTCTTACATATAGTCATATACAAATATATGTGCATGACAACACATAGTAAAAATATATCTTTTACATGGTGGACTATATGGAGTACAAGTTCCCTTAATACGTGTGTACAAAATTGAGGAGGTAACATATGTAGATACAACTGTTCCCGACCTTAGTTCCATTTTTGCCAGTCTGAACATATGGAATTCTAATTGCTAATGCCTCCTATAGCCAAAATCTAAAAAAAAATATTAGCATTTTATATGACATGACACTGAGTGAGTAAAAATCATCATAAATGATTATTTGGAATAACATAGCATATCATAAGCATCTCAAATAAAGCACATAGTGCACTCCCAATAATCTAAACATCTCTAACCCCTCAGGCCATCAATGCCTGACATAAACAATTATCAAATAATAATAGCCATTAATCAAATCATTCACAGTAACAGTGTGCAGATATCACATCATTCCCATTGATAGAAACTTAGATCATAGTCATTCAAGGCATCAATCACAGATACAATACTATAGAGATATATTTTAGAAATATGATGCAGATGATTGTCAGATTATTTGACTTGTCAAATCAAACTCGCCCCTGTGTTATCAAATAACATATTTCAGATATCAAATTTATCTAGCCAGCTTTCATATTAGAGCAGCTCTAGATACAAATTTCAACTTATAGCTCTAGGTAACAAATTTACGAGTACGCAACTCCAAATTCAGATCAGATTTACGAGTTGGTAATGACAGTCATAACTCCCTTTTATCTCAAATGCAGATATGACAAAATTGCATTCACAAATTAGACTCATTGGCCACAGAATAACACATACATTTTTGCTTAACTTACCTCTTTCATAATGAATCATATATTTTACATTCATAGATTAGGCTCATTGGCCTCAGAATAGCATATACCTTTTGCTTAACTTGCCTCTTTTCAAACAAATCACATTCTTTTTTAGATCATAATATCAAGTACAGAATAATATCATAACTGATATATCAACAAAATATTCATCACCTATGAAAAACCATCATAAGCTTTTACTCACAATACACAAAGCTGTAGTTTTAAGGCCTGGAAGGGCCTTCTCCTTCACCTTCTTCTAGGACCCTTTCACCAATATGGATAAGTAATTACCTCAATACTCATTTAGGAATTTAATCAAACACTTAATGTGTATGACTTAAATGCTTAATATTTTTAATGCTCTTTGCATTTTGAACTCCCAAAAAATTCCATTTGATCTCCAACAATCATTTAACAATCCTATAATCTCAATTCAATCAATTACTCATCAATTAACATTATTCAAATTCACCATGATATCACCATTTAATGAGTATTTCTTAAGCTCTTTAAACTTCCACAACCATATAAATATGGTAACTTCAATTTATATTTTCTTAAGCCTGGCTTTAACTTCCACACATATAAATTATGGTACTTCTTCAAATTTTAAAACACGCATTTATTTCAAAACTAATACTTGATAGATAACATCATTAGAATGATTAATCAACTAATTCTCATCAATTCAAAACGAAATGATCATTTCAAGTTGGCAGAATCTCCATCTTTGGCCTTAAGTAAGATTTTCTCAATTCAATCAAATTAAAGCTTAAATCATGGTTTATATAATCAATACTAACTAATCAACACTTCAAATCATGTTTATTTCACTTATTAGCATCAAAATCAATCTCCCCTTTAAAATCTCTACTTTAAAACCCTAACTTAATCTTCTCCATATCAAGCAAATAGCACAAACTAAGTAGAAATTAGTTTACCTTAGGTAATTTTCAACAAAAACCCCTTGAAAATCAAGTTGAATCCTTAGCACCTTAAGCTTTCTTCTTCTCTCCTTATGCATCAGCCTCTCTTCTCACTTTTCTATGGCTTTTGTTTCTTTGATTTTGTCAAGTAGTAATGTTCTTATAAGCTAATAGGTCGTGTGCAACTCACGTGACTTCCTAATTCCTCCTAACTCCTTAATATTTTGCTTATTTATATTTTTTTCCCACATTTATAATTATAACTTTTCTTTTATGTTAATCAAATCCATAATCCTCCATTAACACTTAATTGATCTCATTTAGACCTTAATTACACATCCTAGATAATATAACACAAAATCATTAAGTATGTAATTAAACATTAATTGAGGTACTTCATTGTGACTTGAGCACATTTAACATTCGTTTAATTATTCTCCATAATCATTTTCTATTTTAATTAAATTATGGTTTTGTGATTAACAATCTCCTACTAATATATTAAGGCAATCTTAATCAACTTAATCATCAGAATAGACATAATTCTCTATAACAGTCTCTCTATTCTCACTTGAGTTAACTTATTCATAAACACCATATGTAGGTCTACTGAGAGGCTTTAAAGAACATACACATGTATATATGCCTTCTAAGTCTAAGACAAAGTGTCAAGCTTTTCGAATTCAGAGCTTATTCAGATTCATGCATTTTGCATATTCACATTCTTATCAGGTGCTTATGTGCATGATCATGTTTAGGTATATCATTGCCTAATATTTATCACAAACAATTGCAACACAAATTCATAAACACAGTTGTATGATCGTGATATGGTGTTTCAGGTTCAAGATGTTACAAAAATGGCAGGTGATATATTATGCAAAGAGTGGGGCAATTGATAAAAAAATATGCATTAAAAATGATGTTGACTGCGGTTGAATTGAATTTAGAGGTAAAGTGCATAGTTTCGTTATAAGTGACAATTTGTGACTAAATTCAGAAATTATTTTGTTGTATGTATAAATTTTGTACCTCAATCCTTTTCAAAAATGTGTATATTTGTTCCTTACATGTATATATATAGAGAACAATCAATATGCTTAAAAGTATATGGCGTTATGTCTATTTGCACCATCATACAATTACTAATAAAATTCAAGAAAATTTCAAAAATGTGTATATTTGTTCCTTACATGTATATATATAGAGAACAATCAATATGCTTAAAAGTATATGGCGTTATGTCTATTTGCACCATCATACAATTACTAATAAAATTCAAGAAAATTTTTATTATTTAAAAATTATAAATATGCAAATTCATACTTTTTTTTTATCTTATAAAATGCTTAGTAAAAATCATTGTTATTTTGATTGTTAAGAGAGGAATACCAGTAAAATGTATAGGATTTGAAAGAAATTAATTAATGTCCTTATTATATTAATATTTTTACCCTTATATATAATCAAATGAAGATAGGAAAATGGTTTTCAAATGAACACATAGAAATCGAGATAAAGAGCATATAAAAAAATAATTTGATCTTTTCTTTGGATACATGGGAGGCCTAATGGGCCGAAATAACATCGCCGCACAGCAGGAGACAGTCATCTCCTTCGAATAATATTCACCAAATTGGTGATAACCTTGTGGTGGGGATGTCTCGAACCTCTCACTTCCTACATCTACTACGAGATAAAAAGACCAATCAGATCATACCTGATTGGCAAAACATAATTTGTTCTTTGAACATTCAAATAAATAAGGATTAAATATTATTATTAATCAAAACTTTATTTAGAATGTTTCTAATTATTTTTATTCACAAATCAAAAACTTTTAAAAATAATAACATAACTCAATGATAATATTTATTTAAACAATATATAACAATCATGTGCGAAGTGCAGAATTTCGACTAGTAAATATATGAAAGTTCAAACAAAGAGAAAGTTCAAGGCTTTCTCTTTGTTCAGTATTCCATTTTTCTTTTTGAAGGGATTTTTTAGTTTTTTTTCTTATTTTTCTATATTTTGATTGGGTACTTTTTAAGTTTAAAAAATTAAAAACTAATGGTAAATATTTTTGAAGTGTTATATTTATATTAGAAGTCTATTTGAAAACTGAACTTAATAAATCCAATCAGATGATCATAGTTTAATCATATCTATTTAAAACTATCTACCACTATACATTTCTTCGGTTAAATAATTCTCATCTATTTAAGGTTTTGTATTTCTATATTTTTTCACTCAGTTTCCTTCTTCACGTAAGTTTTTCTTTTTGAACAAGTAGATTTAGCAGTTAAATTCAAAACGTTAGGCACGTATGTGTGAGTTTGTGCTTTTATGAGAAAATTTTGTCTCCTTTTTTTTTTTTTCCTGACTTTCATAATGCGATTTATGCAGCCAAATTCGTGAATAAGGATCACAGGCATTACAGGCTATCAAGACTACCCAGCAGTTACACTTGACTCCTAAATGTTCTTCAGGGAGGTTTTGGAGTTTGCTTCAAGACTCCCATTCAATATTTTTGGAAGTTTCCCTTTCCATTTTATATGCAATTTCTTTATATAGTGGCAATGTTTAGATTCAATTCAGAATTCTTATGCTAAACTATGAAAATTTAGTTGCAGAAGAATTTTGTTTGTAGGGTATTTGTGGTATCCGTTTGGGGGTAAAGTATGGATGTTGATGAGTTTGGAGCATTACAGGACCAAGAGACGAGGAAGATTGTTCACTTTAATCAAGAGTAACTTTTAACTTGCTGAAATTCTTTTTTTAAATCGGGATCTTTTGGCTTTTACTTCTTCTATTTATACTTTTACAGAGTTATTATCATATTTGAAATCCAGTTTTCTATAACAATTCATGATTTTACTCTACTTTCAAATAATAGAATTATAATAATAGTTTTAATTCATTAATTTGTTTACTTGCTTGAATTGATGTAATAGTTATATTTTCTATTTAGATAGTGTTGGTGTTTATATTTTAATATATATATGGTTATAATAAAATTTAAAATAATTAGTTTTTTATGAGTAAAAGTAAATTTTAATTATTATTATTGATAGCATTTTATCAAAAACAAAAGCCAATTAAATTTTAATATAAATCTACAAATAAAAAACTTTTGCTAATAGTAATATAATAAAAAATAATTTAAGCAATCTATATATACCGCCCGCAAAGCGCGGCATCACAACTAGTTACACGATAATAGTATGTTCATAATCTTCAAAATTTTAACCGTACGTTTCCATACCATATTAAAATATTTTAAAGAGAGTTTTTTTTTTAATTTTCTTATGCAGTAAATTATTGGGTTTTGATTTTAAAATTTTATGCTTTAATATTTTTTTAGAGAAACACTAATTTTTGTAATTGGATGCCATAAACCCTTTCTTTTGCATTCTTGAAAAAACATAGAAAAAAAAAAAAGAAAGAAAACCTTTATTTTTGCCTTGTGGAACTCAAATGTAAAATATTTTGCACAAAGTTAGGCACAAGCCTTTAAAACTTTTTTTTAATAATGCTTAACTTAGGAGGGATAGTAAACTCCACACTTTGAATTCAATTATTTAGAATGAACTCCTTGATTTGGTTAATGTAACATCTAGTAGAAATTCAAGTTATGAATACATAAATTCACTCTCAATAAGATTAAATTGACAAAGTTCAGAAGTGAATTTCAGTATTTGGCCTTATATTATCTCATCTAGAGTTGGATTACATGCAAGTAAGATTTAGGACCAGCTAGATTTTATTGTCTATATTTTGTTAATTTAGCAAGGCCAAATGATAAAAAAAAATAGGAATTTTTAACACTTTTTACAATTTTAGCCAAATCTTTTGATTTTTACCGATCAATATATTGAGCTTATTTTATAATTATAATTATAGCGTCTGTTAAATTTCTATTCCAAACTAATAATGTGGCTTAAGTATAAAGGTTGGGTACTTTTTGCCATGTGATAGAAAAAGTAAAATTTAAATGCTATGAGGTTAAAAATGAAGTTCATGAAGCTGCAAGGTCAGCTTCACAGACAGTGGAGCTATAAGAATATTTTTGAAAGTTCGAGAGTTAAATTATATATGTCCCTCAACATTTAATTTATTAAATACTTCAATTTATAAATCTATATCTATTAAATACTTCAATTTTTAAAATTATTTTATTGAATACCTCAACTTGCAAAAGTAGATAAATGAAATACTAATTAAAAATTGAACGTTATGAAAATTTTTGTTTCAAAAGTCATACTAACTACATATCAAGTTTATTTTTCAGATAAAAGCCAAAGACATTAAAAAATTATTGATATTAATGTCGAAAGGTGTCTAGTCTTACCATACAAGTTTAAGTGCATGATATGGATCATCCGCAAAGTTCAGGATATCACAAGGTTAAAATTGTAAAATTTAGGGGTAAATTTATGTATTCAGTCAATTATATATACGCACACTGTAAGGCTTTCTGTTATGTAATAATAATATTTTTTTTTACCGGAAAGATGGCTTAATTATTATTAGCATCCATCAAAATTACATCATGAATAAAGAGTGGATAGTTTGTAGACCACTCCACTGAATCAGTCGTAGAACCAGCAGCCTGAGCCAACGAATGTGCTGTCTGATTCGCTGATCTTCTGGCAAAAGAAAATGACAAAGAATGAAACTCTTCAGCAAGAGTCTTACAATCAAGAATTATAGAACGAAAATAAGAAAAATCATGGCCACTTGTGTTTAGCGCTTGAATAGCCAATTGGCTATCACTCTCCACTGTCAACGGAGCCTGCTGGTACTGGGCCTTGAGCTAGCTCAATGCTTCCTTTATTCCAAGCGTTTCTGCAAATTACACACCAGCCACCCTACCAAGCTGCGCTTCCTTTATTCCAAGCGTTTCTGCAAATTACACACCAGCCACCCTACCAAGCTGCTGAAATTTACCACCCACACACCTACCAGAATTGTCTCTAACAAGCCAACCTACCCCAGCCATCCCAATCGTTGGATTATAACTTGCATCAACATTAAACTTAAAACCCACCTCTGGCAATATCCAATGCACTACCCAACTGCTGTCAACAGCCACACAAGAGTTAGCGGCCCCATTATTGGC